GCAACAGCTGTACCCTCCGCCTCCCACATGAAAATCACAACTAAAATACAGATCAACCATCACTCGGAACCTCCCGAAATCTAGCTGAACAGAAGCCCTACAACCCGGGAACTGAAGAAACACCGAGACCGGTCGGAGGGGCGGAGACACGGGTGGATCGGGGCTGAATCAGAGACGCAGCCTCAGGCCCACACCCGGTGCCGCGGGTTAAACCCCAGAGGGAATCTCAGCGGGGGAGGTTTCCCGGAGGAGCAAGGGGTCCCAGCCCCGCATCGGGCCCNGGAGGTTTCCCGGAGGAGCGAGGGGTCCCAGCCCCGCATCGGGCCCCCAGTCCTGGGCTCCAGGGCCGGGAAGAGAACTCCCCACAACTTTGGGCTGTGAAAACCACCGGAGACTGTCGCTGAGGGTCGCGGAGAGTGCCGGAGTCCCTTTTCCTCTTAAAGGCCCCGCGCATGGACTCACTCAGATGCGCTCCCTCTGAGCCCAGCGCCAGGCAGCAGCTTAAAGGACCTGGGACACTTGGGGAGGAACTAACCTGCCTGGAATCTGGGAGAGAGCTGGAAGCAGAAGAGCTGACAGAGGCCATTGCTCCTTTGGTGAGTCCTCCCCACACACAGCCGGCAGGCAGCCACCCTATTTGAATCGCCAGCACCTGAGTCACACCTTTGGCCCCACCCCGTGATTCTCGGAGGCCCCTCCCCCTCCCCACCTGCAGGCTCATCCAGGCCATTTCCAGGGGCTTTTCTGTGCAAGTGGTCTCCTGAGCCTTATGTTTAGGACTTTCCTAAAATCTCTCAAACAAGCAGCAGTGTGCCCCATACGGCTTGATAAGTGGCCCCAGACCTGGCACTAGTGGCAGCCTGCATTGGTTCATAGCTTGGCCTCTCCTGGACACCTCCAAGCCCAGCACAAGTAGCAGCCAACTACGGTTTGCTGTGTAGCTCATGCTGGGTGGCCCTGGGCAAGGCACTGGCACAGGCTGACTTTGCACCTCCCAGGAGGCCCCAGAGACAGTGCACCTGGTGATCAGACTTGATCATGCTGGATTACAACCCTACCACATCCACGAGTGACACACTCAAGGGGTGCACTTAGTGAACACCAAAGTTCCACTGAAGTAAATCCTGCTCCATAGGGGTGTCTCAAGCACAGCAGCTCTTTGGCTATAGTTGCAGCTGGTCCTTACAGCCGACTGGCCTGGGGGTTAATTCCTCCCAGTGAAGCCAACAGCAACCAAGGCTCAACTATAACAGGACAGTGCACACAACCCACACAGGGGAGCACCTAGAAGGCCCAGCTCAGGTGACTGGGTGGGCTGAGCCACTGGACCCTACAGGAGACATAGGGTAGCCACTACAAATTCCAGGAGACGTAGCAGCTCTACCTAATACATAGAAACAAACACCTGGAAGCAGCCAAAATATGGAGGCAAAGAAACATGTCACAAAGGAAAGAACAGAAGAAATCCTGTCTCTTATACACATCTAANAGGCAAAGAAACATGTCACAAAGGAAAGAACAGAAGAAATCTCTAGAAGAGGAACTAAATGAAATAGATTCAAGCAAGCTAACAGATACAGAGTTCAGAATTTTGTTTATAAGGATGCTCAACCATATTAGTAAGGGTATTACAAAAACAACTGAGAAAATTGATGACATAAGAAAGTACCAATTTGAAATGAAGGCTACATGTACTGAAATGAAGAATAAGTTACAGCGAATCAACAGTAGAGTAGAGGATGCTGAGAATCAAATCAGCAGTTTGGAGCATGAGGAAACAAAAAACACCCAACCAGAAGAGCAAAAAGAAAAAAGAATCCAGAAATATGAAAATAGTATAAGAAGCCTCTGGGACAGCTTCAAGAGGCCCAACATTTGTATTATTGGGGTGCCAGGAAGAGAAGAAAGAGAGCAAGAAATTGAAAACCTATTTGAAAAAATAATGACAGAAAACTTCCCCTACCTGGGAAAAGAAATCGACTTACAAGTCCAGGAAGCACAGAGGGTCCCAAACAAGAGAAACCCAAAGACTGTCTCTTATACACATCTAGATGTGTATAAGAGACAGCACTANTCTTAAAAGCAGCAAGAGAAAAGCGGTTAGTTACCAACAAGGAGCACCCATATGACTGTCAGCTGACTTCTCAACAGAAACTTTGCAGTCCAGAAGGGAGTGGCAAGAAATATTCAAAGTGGTGAAAAACATAGAACTACAACCAAGATTGCTCTACCCAGCAAAGCTATCATTTAGAACTGAAGGTCAGATAAGGAGCTTCACAGATAAGAAAAAGCTAAAGGAGTTCATCACCACCAGACCAGCACTACAGGAAAAGTTGAAGGGTCTTCTTTAAGAAGAAGCTGCCCAGCCAGGCATGGCTAAGCAGTTGAGCATTGACCTAGGATCCAGGTGATCGGGGTTTGATTTTTTGTCAGGGCTCATGCCCAGCTTACAGGCTAGGCAGCCAATCAATGACTCTCTCATCATTGATGTTTCTATCTTTTTCTTCTCTCTCTCCTTTCCTCTCTCTGAAATCAATAAAGATATATTTTTAAAAATTAAAAAAGAAGCTAATGAACAAAAGAATCTGACAAACTAAATAGATCCAGAGACACTGACGTAGGCAGCAGACGATCATATTTCAGAGGAAAGAGGGAAGGGAGGTGGAGGGTGGGAAGAGATTAATCAAAGAAGTTATATGAATATATGCATGACCCATGGACATAGTCAATAATGGGGTGAAGGTATGGGGAAGGGGTGGGAGAGAGGTGGAGGGGTCAATTGGGGGGGAAAATGGGACACTTGTAATACTTTCAACAGTAAAGATAAATAAAAACAAACAAACAAACAAAAATAAGTGCATGTAAATGTCAATATGTCTGTTTATGCTACACCCTGGGGTGTGTGAGGTGACTTTAGACAGGACACCACGAACACTTTATTTTAATAGTTATGCTTTCTATTTATCTTCTATGTGTGTGACAGGTCGCATTAGTTTTTGTTTACAATTTAGTTCTAAAGCATCTTTTTTAACAATTTAAGTTTTAAAAAGTGACCCAATTTAAAGAAAAATATTTATTGAGTAAACATATAGCTGGTACATAGACATTGCAAAAATTTCAAGGGGGGTACACAAATCACAGAAAACCTGTGCTTTAGCATATAAGCATTTATCTCCTTCCGAGCTCTTTTGGTTGCAAGTAATAGATTACTCAAATCAGCTTAGGCAAGATAAGAGAAGGTATCCTGCCCAAAGGAAAAAGTGCAGTTGTGCCTCAAGAAAAACTATAGTGAGGCTTGTGCTATTCCTCAAGAACAGTGGCCCTGAATCTTGCTACTTACTCCTGAGAGAGACAACCTGACTGGCCAGCTGGAGGCAGATGTTCACCTCTCATCCATTCAACTCCGATGTAGGACTGAGGGAAACAAATTCTCAGAAAAAGAGAGAATCCAAGATGAGTAAGCACCCTGACCAAGGGGTGTCTGCCTCAGCAACTTAATTCACTGCTCATAGCAACCCTATGAGGTAGGAAATTCAGCTTGCAGTCCTTCATCAGGAAGTGACAAAGCCTAGACTTGAACCTGTGTCTTTGCGACACCAAAGTTCCAGTAAGCTGCACTATCTACCTGGTTGCCATCAGGTAAGACCAGCCCACAGCTACCACTGAGCTACCATTGAGTTACTGGCCCATTGAGAGGCAGTTATCAAAATCATCAACCCAGTGCTTGCCCAGTAGACAGAAAACAAGGATCCCAACTTTATGGGAACACTATCTGGGAGCGAAGAAGATTTCTTAGAAGGCCCACAAGGCTCTGGGAACCAGAGAAGACTCCTCCAAGTCCTGGGTCTAAGGCTGCCAGATTCATACTGCGGGTATTGAGAGCAGGATGCAAGAGGAGGCTCATTTGAATGTTTGCTGAAAATCACAGGCAGGCACCTAGAGATCCTCAAGGAATTGACACTTCTTTTCTGCCCCAGAATTCAAAGTACCTGTGGCCCTTGAAACCATAACAGCTCCTCCCACCTCCTAGAAGCTAAATTAGGAGGGGTCCCCTAGAAAGTGGGTCAGGGAGGAGACCTGACAGGCTCCTTCCACTCTGGGGGCCTCCCCACAACACAGGCACTTCCAGCCTAAGCTCCCATTCCCATGGAAGCCTCTGGGCATCCATGATGCCCTGGATGACCAGACTTCAGCCTTGAGGGCCCTTTGCCCACCCACAGTGGGTGGCTGCCCAACAGGAGGTATTTCATCAAGGTCCATTACTGAGACAGACAGATGGATGTGGCAATTGTGTCTCTCCCACTTCCCCTGAGCTGACCCTGAAGCGAGGCCTGTGCAGAGAGGCACCTCTGCCTCAGGATACAAGCTCCTCATCCTAGCATTTGGTCTATGCATGTTTTATCTCTTCTGGTCACCATTCAGGACAGGTTGTTGGGTGAGTGGGGAGAAGTTTCCACTGAGCCACTCTAAGAAGTGTCACAAAGACCTTGTGCCTGTGGGTAGAGACAGGGTGGCACCATCCTAGCTCAAAAGTCTGCCCCAAAGATACTGCCATGTTGCCAGGAGAGTCCCTTCTCCCAAACCCCTTTCTCTGCCTTTACAGTGATAAAGGGAGTGGTTGCTCAAAAGTTCAGGTCATACTCACTTGGGATGCTGCCCTAGTAGGGTGACCTGGGTGGCTCAGAGTCTGCTCCCATGGCCTGTTCCTGGTTCTGACTTTTCTCCCACAGCTATCAGATTTACGCACTCAGGATGAGGCCACCAGCCAAGGTTACTATGGCAAGTGCCCAAAGGTGGCTCAAGGGGTTCATTCAAGTTTGGGACTTCTAGAAGTCTGGATCTCCCATTATCCCCACCTTGGGGAGGTAGCCTCCATATCTAATGGGCCCCTAGCACCGAAGGAGGAAGGGCCCAGACCATAGCAAATACCTCTTTTCCCCCCAAGTCAGTTATGATGTCCATGAAGGAGAAGCCTGTGGGCCTGGCGCCGTCCATCAGAAACTAATTTTTGAGGGAATTGGCAGGGATGTGGTTGAGTGGCAAGACCACTTCGGTGCCTGTCTCCATGGTGGCCATGGGGCATTTCCGGCTGCTGCGTAGGCTGTTGAACTTCTCGGTGAGGTGCTTGCGGAACTTCTTGGTGAGGAAGCAGTAGATGATGGGATCCAGGACACAGTTGGTGCTAAGGAGGCAGAGGGTGACCTGGTGTGCATCGTTGATAGCCTGGTGGAAGCTGTTGTTCTGGAAGCCCAGCTCGGCCAGGGTCCAGGGCAGCTGCACAATGTGGTGAGGCACAAAGCATGTGATGAACACAGCCAGGACCGTGCAGACCATCCACAGCGCCCGGCGCTTGACTTCTGCGTTGTGCTGCAGCTGCACGGGCTGCAGGAGCAGCGTGCGCATGATGACCAGGTTGCAGAAGAGGATGATGAGGAAGACGAGGAAGAAGCCGCCCACGAGGAAGATGTGGATGAGGAGCACCGGGATGCTGCCTTCCTCATAATGTTCGAAGCAGCGCGTGATGTTGCCCGAGCCCGTCTTGCTTTGCACTACATTGGTGGAGTCCAGGACAAAGAAGTAGGACGCAGCGGCCACAATGGACACCCAGATGATCAGGGACAAAAAGATGCCACGCTTGCGGGTGGTGGCCTGAGCAGTCTTGATGGGCCGTGTCACTGCCTGGAAGCGGTTGTAGGTGATGACGGCCAGGAAAGCCACCGAGCAGTAGGTGTTGATGAAGAAAAAGCAGCCGGCCAGGTTGCACAGAAACGCAGGAAGGATCCAGTTGCCCTGATGGTAGTAGTAGATGATCCACAGGGGCAAGGTGACCAAGAAGAGCAGGTCGGCCACGGTGAGGTTCACCATGAAGATCTTGATCTCATTGAGTTTCTTGGAAGGGTACAGGCGGGCAAAGACCCACAGCACATAGCTGTTGGCGATGACCCCCACCACAAAGATGATGCTGTACACAATCGGGAAGAGGGTGTATCGGAACTCTGAGTCCACGCGAGAGGAATCATTTGTCTCCATTGCTCTGGGCTAGAAAAGGCAGCTGGTCACAGTGTCCCCCTGTGCCTGGAAGACCACACAGGAATTCTGGTTAATGAAGGGCCAACAAGGGTCTATCTTATTTCATCAATTCCAAGACTCGCATTTTGCACATGTTTAGAAGTCTAAAAATCAATGGCATCTTCCAATTAACTGGCAGCATTTCTTTTCTTTCTACATAAAATAATTTTTTCATGAACTAAATCTGAGATTCAATGAAATCAATGGCAGCTCAGTTTGAGTAGTGGAAACACTTGAAGAAGCCAATAGATACTTAAACAGGTGAGTTTAAAGGAACAACTGGTTCTAACTGGAATTTTGTTGATTGAGAAAAAAATGTTTGTGCTTTGCTCCATTTACTGTGATGGTAGTTTTTCTATGTTAAATTAAATAAATGTAGCTTCCATTATTCCAAGAAACCACTGTGATTCTCTTAAAAACAAAAAACTCACCCACGAGTGAATTACATAGTTGAGTTGAATTACATAGTTTTATGCTATGGGACATTTTCCACTGCTAAAGGGAGTTCTGTCATCTGATCCCAAAGCTCTAGGATAATAGTCTCAAAGGGGGTCCACAGAGATGAGGGGGAGACACAGAGATGAGGGGGAGAGAGGAACATCTCTGAGACCTTTCAGGGGATCCATGAGGTCAAAACTACTGTCAGAAAAACAACAGATGTAATTTGCCTTTTGCACCGTGTTGACATTTGCACTGATGACGTGAAACTGCTGGCTCCTTAGGGTAAACCAAGGCAGCAGCACCAAACTGTAGCGGCAGCCAGATTCTTTGCAGCCATGTACTCAGTGTTAAAAAAAAAAATGTCCAATTTCACTTTAAGTTACTTTAAGATGTCCTTGGTAAAGGGAGGGAATTATTAATTTTATTAAATCTTCAGTACACTTCTCTTTTAATATTCCGTGTCAAAATGGGAAATGCACATAAAACCCTTGTGTTGTGAACTGAAGTAAATAGGTTGTCTTCAGGCAAAGCACCTATGTGATTGTTTGAGTTCTGAGCTGAACTTTTTTGAGGATCATTATTATCACTTGAACAAATGACAAACTATGGTTTTTCAGACTTGACTATCTGGCAGATATTTTCTCACATATGAATGAGTAGGCCTGTCACTGCAAAGGAAACCAACAGTATTTATTGCTAATGATAAAATTCAAACTTTCAAGGAAAATTAGAATTTTTGGAAAAATTGTATCTGCCAGCAGGATCTTGACAACTTTCCAATACTTAAAGAATTTTCTGCCCAGCTGGGCATGGCTCAGCAGTTGAACATTGACCTAGGATCTAGGAGATAGGGGTTCGATTCCCGGTCAAGGCACATGCCTGGGTTGCGGGCTAGGCAGCCGATCAATAACTCTCTCATCATTGATGTTTCTCTCTCTCTCTTTCCCTCTCCTTTCCTCTCTCTGAAATCAATAAAGATATATTTAAAAAAAAAAAAATTTCTGATGAGATTGGTGGCGATATTAGTGAATGCAATTTTTTGGTATCTTATAATGAAAGATCGATATTTGGAAGACCCACATAATCAGTGAACCGATATTTTCCAAATGAGGAAGACATGATATTTCAAAATTATGCAAAGGTAAAAGATTCAAAAGGTAACATAGACCAATACATCACAGGGTAACAAATTACAAAAAGTTCATTTACATGATCCAGGTTCCACATTGCAGCTAACCTTTAAGAAAGTACCATTTGTAAACAATAATAAAATTTAAAAACAAACAAACAAAAAAAAACTACCATTTGTGATGCTTTGATGTAATATAAAAGAAGAGTGCCATCAATTATCTGACAAGGACATTAAAATATCCCTCCCTTTACAAGTACCTATCTGTGTGAGGCCAGATTTTCTTCATATATTTTGGCCAAAATCACATATCACTACAGATTGAATGCAGAAGCAGCTATGAGAATCCAGCTGTCTTCTATCAAACCCAACATTAAAATGATGTGCAAAAAATGTAAATAAATGCCACTCTTCTTCCTAAAATGTTTGCTTTGAAATTTTAGTTATTTTTCACTAAAAGTGTTATTTATGTTAACATGCAATGAGTTTGTTGTTGGATTTTATATTTAAAAACAAAAATTTTTTAGAATGTCTTAGTTTTAATTTTGAATATGATAAACAGTGATAGATATAACCCATGTAAACAAAAGCTCTCTGGGGCCCTCAAAACATTTTAAGGATATAAAAAGATCCTGAGACCAGAAGATTTGAAAATTGCTGCTCCATAACCTCGGGCCCTCCTCCCTCTCCTTTGAGGCCAAGATGCCAGTTCATCTGGCACTGGCCTTATTTCTTTCTCCCGATGGGCCCCCATGCCTTGGGGGAGCCTGTTCCTGGGGTCTGAGAAGGGCGAGGAGGCGGCCCACAGCGGGGAGTGCGTGGTGCTCCTCATTCTGGGTCTCTGAGGAAGTCGCATCCCCGCCCAGCCCTCACATCCACGCTCACCTTCACCCCTAGGTCAGTTCCTTCCTCTCCTGGAGTTTAGGCTTCTCCCGAAACTGTCCCTGTCCAGCCAGAGGACTCAACCCAAGACATCCTCCTGGGCCCTGCCGCCTGTGCCAGGCCTGCCCGGCCTGTTGAGAAAGTCTTTCCTCCAGGACCAGGACTAGGGAGGGTAAGGCTTGTGAGGTGCTCACTTAGGTACCAAATGTAAGGGGGCACCAAAACTTTCGTAAGCAAGATAAATAATATTTTAATGCAATATTTAAAAAAATTAAAACCAGTATTACTGATTCTTCTTTTTGCCTCAGACTCTGCCTGGCACTGTTATGATCCGGTCTTCATTTAAAATGTTGGTATTTTCACACTTATAGATGCAGAGAGCAAATTGATAGTTACCAGAAGGGAAAGGGGGTGGGGGAGGGTGAAATGGGTAAAGGGGGTCAAATGTATGGTGACAGATGGAAACTAGACTTTTGGTGGCGTGCTCACTATAGTGTATACGGCTATCAAATTAGAATGTTGTACATCTGAAACTTATATAATGTTAACCAATGTTATCTCAATTTAAAAAATGGTATTTTGTTCTTAGAGTTTTTTCCCCCCCATTAATTGATTTTTTAAAAAAGTCTTTACACCATGTGAATGGGGCACATGCACAGGTTAGCCCAACTCAGCCATTCTGTCACTCATTCATTTGATAAGCGCTCACTGCTCCAGGGCAGAGCACTAGGGCCTCAGAGAAAAGTCCCAGTTTCTGACCTTCTGTGGCTCCCAGACCACCATTCAGAGGTAAGTCAGAGGGGGAGGAACTTATGAAGGAGGCAAGGACGGGAGGGTCAGAGAGGTAGGAAGAGGCCAGGGCTGCCATGCTGGAGACCTAAGGAAGAAAGTTTCAAGAACAAGCGGTGTGCAAAGTCTCAGGGAAATCAAGTACCACGCAAACAGAAAAGCAAATATTGGATATGGCAACTCGGAAACCTGTCTCCCGTGATTCAAGGGAGAGCAGTTTCCTAAGCATGAGCTGAGGAGTGAATGAAAAGCAAGGAAGTGGAAGGTCAAATCCTCACTCAAGAAGCTTAAGTTAAGTTGAAAAACAGAGAGAGAAATAAGTAGAGAGATAAATAAGTATGATTTCAAATTGTGATGAATTCGATAAAAGAAATAAAAATAGTAACATAATGAAGATTGCTTAGGGGACTGCTTTCAATAGTGACCAAGGAAGGCTTCTCAGAGGAGGTGACAATAAACAAAATCAGAGGCCAGTTTACCATGAAGCCAGGGAAGCCTGACCTTAAAGTGCCTCTCCTAGACCTTGTACCTAATTGTGTATTTGTAATTTGGTATCTTTTCTTTAAAGAGGGCTCCCACAATTGTATAAGCTTTAGGGTCCTGCAAGACCTATATCTTCCTCTGGCTGAAATCTAAAAAGTGAGAAGTCAAGAGAAAATCTGGAATTATTCCAGGCAAAGGGTATTGTGTGCAAAGGGCCTGCAGTAGGAATAAGTCCATCATGTTCTGAGAAAGGAATAAATCTGTTATCTTTAAGAAACTGAAAGGTCAGTGTGGCCCTAGAGGTGTGAGAAACTAGGAAGACTGGGATGAGATCAGAGAGCAACTGGTCCCAAATTGCCGTGGCAAGTTTAAATTTTATTCTTTGAGCATCACGGTCAAGTAGGTGAGCAACATGATCTGACCGGCTCTGGATGCTGGGCAGAGAATAGATAGTAGGGGACCAGAGTGGAAGCAAAGAGACCATTTTAGAAGCAACAGATGGTGGTGACATGGACCAGAAAGTGGCATTTCCAATATTTCTCTTTATCCCCAGCATCCGGCACAAGCTTAGCCAGAGCAGGAGCTTAGTAAACATTTGTCAAGGGAACAAATATCTAACAACTGACAAGACTAACCTCTTTGTGAGAGCTGCGAGAGGGCTCATGAAGGTGGTAGAAGTCTGATCTATCCAGTGACATAAGAGCACCAATGGCAGCCTCCGCAAGAGGCAGAGTGAGCCCTCCACAACCTCACTATTCAAACTGTGGTCCTTGGACCAGATGCATCAGCATCGCCTGTGAGTTCATCAGACACCCAGAATCTCCACCTCCACCCCAGACCTGTTGTATCAATCTGGCTTTTAACAAGATTCTCAGGTGATTCATGTACACACTGAAGTTTGAGAAGTGCCGTGCCTCAGTGCACTGCCAGCCACATACCTGCCTGATCTAACACCTTCCATGGCTCCCCACTGCCCAGTATCAAGTCCAAGCTCCTTTCCCGCCTCATCTTCCACCAGCCTCTCCTGCTACTCACCCTCTATTCCAACCACACTAACCTTCTTGCTGCTTCTCTAAAAACCCCATTTCTCTTCAAACCTCTGTCTTTGCACATACTGTGGCCCCTACTGAGCGTGCCTTTTGCCTATGACTTTACCTAGCAAAATCTTACTCATCGTTTAAGACCTAATCTAAGGAGTGCTTTCTCTGGAATCCCTTCCCTGGTTGCCCCAGGCAGAATGAGTGGCCTTCCTCTCTGAGTCACCA